TCAGAATTAGCTTTATTGCCAGGTATGTTTTCACATACGAGGAATTTGTTTTCATGACAGAAGCTTCCGCAGTGCAACAGAATGACAGCGACGGTACAAAAACACAGATAATAAAAGAATAATAAAAAAAAATAATAATAATAATATAAAAAAATAATAAAATAAAAATAGAATATTGAGGAAAGAAAAACAAGCTTATGTGGATACTACACATTTAAACAATAAGGTATCTAATGTTATTTATGGAGCAGATAAATACATATAATCATGTATTAATCAATTATCATTTTGACGACTCTTTTCTTTATTTAAAAGCTGAAATGTGAGGTTTACCATTTACGAAACTTTTTCCAAGCTTTATTTGAACAGTTACATTAGATATTTGAACATGCTATTAGATAAACTGTTTGTTGTCAGTCATGTTGTCATTTAAAATCCAGAGGTCACTATAATCGTGATAAGAAATTTTCATACCGTTACATCCCTACCTAAGACACGAAACGATCGGTTTGTGCCAGAAACCGAACAGTATTTATATCATATTTTACCTCTAATAGAACACTATGTCCAACTGTCTTTGAGCGCGCGCACGGCATCCGGTGCGTGAGGTGTGTAAATTTGTCTTACGGGTTTCGATATCAAGACTGAAACACTACAAATGACTTTCTGTCCATTTTGAGAATATCCCTGTCACTCTTTACTATTAATTTAAATAGGACTGTGGCCGTCAAACTACAAAATCAAGATACATAAGGAATCACAACAGCAGTCTACACAACTGTCATTCAAGTGTTATTCACTGAAAAATCATCCACTTTATCTCCCAAATTGGTGCCTTTGCATATGCTGTGTCTGGTTTGACGTTAATGGTGTCTGTTAACACATATAACAAATTTAGGTTATAAAAACATTGTGGGAACATTGCTTTGAAATGTTAAGGTTTCTTGTCATGATAATAGTTACACTACTTATTACATTTTTTAATAGGGTAACTTGTAATCTATTACATTTCCAAAGTAACCTTCCCAACACTGGTTTTGGGCTAACTCAGTTTTGATTAGCAATTGGGCGGGTTTTGATGTGAAACCCTATTCTGTTTCAGTTTTTATAACCATTTCTTACTATGTGTAAGTAAGTTGTTGTTTTTTAGCATGCAAGTTTGGCAGTGTTATTTTTTAGGATTACTGATAAACTACTGTTGATTTGTATTATTTGTATTTGTTATTTATTTTAATTTTTGTTAAATTATGTCTGTATAGGTCTTTTATTAAGTTTTTAGTTTTACTTAATTTGAGTTATTTTAATACTTCAACAAACTAAATGGAAATGAAATAATATATATATTGAATTTATAAATGTGTATGTATGTATATATATATATGTATGTGTGTGTGGTTGTATATACTCATATATGTAGTTGTTTTTTTGGTGTTTGGCTTAGTGTTATGTTAGAATCATTATTATACTCTTATACCTTTTGTTCTTTAATATTTTGAATTGTTTTTAGCTTTATTTTTTGTTTTTAATTTAAATGTTAAGTTTTGAAATTTTGTTGCATGCATTTGTCAATTTTATTTAATGTCTTTATTTTTAAAATGTGTATAGGTAGTATTTATAAAGTCTTAGCTTGTAGTTTTGGATCTGTTTTTAGTTGTTTTAATACGACAATTGATTGCTTCTGTTGTCCTCATTTGTAAGTCGCTTCGGATAAAAGCGTCTAATAAATGACTAAATAAAAATAAAAAATAAAAAAACCTGGCAACCCTGATTCTAATGTAACCTACTAGAGATCAGAACCAAAGCACAGCATCCCGACAGAGATCGGATCGCTCCGGTGATCGGCGCGATACATCGCTCATGACTGCGGCGCGTTGACGCTCGACGCCACGCCCTGCGCGCCCGACTCACGACGACGCACTTCATCCTGCGCACATTCATCCCTCACAAGAACAGCGGACTCCAGCCATGGCAGGTGAGTCTTTCAGCTTTTAATCTGTGCGAAAACTGCGCGTCAGGATGAGTTTTGGATGAGACAGAATCTGTGTGTTTGTCTGATTACAGAATTGGAGACGCGTCAGAGGCTGCTGCGCAACGTCAAGAAGGAGGTGGGAGATTCTCATTGTTTATCAGATATTGAGCAGATGATCGATAGAAGCTGTCGATTACTAAATCTGATCGTAATGACTGGGGTTGCAGGTGCTAAATGTGTCACACACACACACACACACACACACACACACACACACTGCTTATGATAATACCACAACACACACCTGCTCATTAGACTGTCGTGTACTGTGTGTTTTATCAAGAAGAACATCTAAACAAGGTCATTCTGGTTTGTACTCTCAGTGTCATCAGCCATTTGCTTTCTTAAGGAGCCCAGCATGATGAAGATGTGTCAAATTGTCTTCCTTGTACTGTGATTGTACCATGGTACTCAGATAATGGCATGGTAATAGTAAAGATCATGGTTGTTGTGAGAGATTACATGTTTTCTTACAGTACTGAACATCATCTCTGGCCCAGTCATTCATTTTAGTCAATTATATTCACATTTACATTGCTTAATAAGAGTATAATCCAATAGAAAGATCATCTAAAATCTGCGGTTTGTACTCCTTAATGTAAAGTTATTGTCCTTTGCAATAAAGCACTGTAATGGTACCATAGTTTATTGATAGAAACACATAATAATAATCTGGAACAATATAATTTTATAAAATAAGTATAAATATGTAATAATAATAGTAATATGTTAATATGTAAATTAAACCCTTGAGTCATTATATAATTATATTTTAGTAACCTTAATTAGTTAATACTTAGAATACAATATGATGTAACAATATGAAAATAATATCGCATATAAAAAAAAAAAAAACGTTATGTCATGACGACATAGGGGGTTTACTTGAGAGCCCCAATCCGCTCTGACTTTCAGAGAAAACGCCAATGAATTTTGGCTAGTGGATTTTGCATACCTGAGCCACTCCCCGTGCATACGGGTATAAATAGGTGACAGGTGCATCCACTCATCAGATTTTTGCTTCGGAGCCGAATTAATGAACACAGTTCGAGATTCACCAGGCAAATTCTCTCTGCTGCTGGAAAAAGAGGCTGTTCTGGGTGGCGTTACTGCACAATCAGCGCTGTTAATTCAGCGATTCCCCTGGGTGCTTCATCTAAACGAGCAGTTTCTGATCACGGACGGCTCATGTCTTTTTAAAGATGCCGTTCCGTCCCTGTCCTCTTGGTTGCAGTCGTTTCCTATCCTCTGTCAACAGCCACGATCATTGTCTTCAGTGTCTGGGCATCCAGCTCGCTGAAGCTGCATTCGTGGATGGTTTATGCATTCACTGTGAGCGTGTAACCATGGCAGCGCTGCCTCTCTCTCCTCACGGGGATGGGCTCCCTCTGTCACTACCCACGCTGGCTTCTCTGCCACAAGCAGAGAACCATCGGCTAGTGATCTTGGCGATCTGAGGGCTACAGTGAGAGCCTCTCCACCGGGCCAGTCCCCGCGGACCTCTCACTTCTCCCGCAGCAGCTGCTCGGTGCGGCTCCCCGGTGATTCTGCTTTGCCGTCTCACGGCGTGGCCAGCGTTTCATTCAGCACGCCGATAGAGAATCAGATGTCAATAGCAGCATCGGGGGGTGGGTTATTTTGATTTGGCAGGGCTGCTCCCCTCGGGTGTTGTCGCCAACGCCGAATCGGACCCAGAGTTGACGGCCATGCTTTCCCAGGCCGCCGTGAGGCGTGCACACCTCCCAGTCCCGAGCCCTCGCAGCGGGATGATTGGTATGGGCATGGGCCGTGGCTCGCGACCACGCCCTGCCCTGGTTCCTTTCTTCCCGGAGGTGGATGGCCCCTTTTCGGCCAGAAGCCGCTTGTCTGCCTCCTCCAACCTCACTACCCTTGATGACGGGGCAGCTAGGGGGTACATTGACATTCCCCAGGTGGAGAATGCGGTTGCGGTGCACCTGTGCCTACAAAATGCCTCCACTTGGAGGAATCGTCCTCGTCTCCCATCCAAAGCCTGTAAGCTGACGGCGGCTCACCACCAAAGCTGCAGTCCTGCGGGCCAAGCCGCCTTTGCCCTGCATGCCATGGCTATCCTGCAAGTACACCAAGCCAAGGCACTAAAACAAATGCACAAGGGTACTGTAGTACCGACCCGAGGTTAATGCAGGAACTGTGCACGGTGACTGACTTCGCCCCCGGGCGACGAAAGTCACGACGTGGTCCCTCGGGGAGGCAATGTCCACGTTAGTGGTCCAAGAGCGCCATCTATGGCTCAGCCTTACTGAGATGAGTGACGTCGACAGTGCGCTTTCCTGACGCTCCCGTCTCCCAGGCTGGGCTATTCGGCGACACTGTCGAGGACTCCGCCAGCAGTTCGGCAGTACAAAGGCAGACTGAGGCTATCCAGCACATCCTGCCCCGGCGTAATCCTCCACCTGCCACCGCGGGCCACGCCTCAGCCTGCCCGTCGCCGAGGGCGCCCTCCTGTGGTTGCTCCACCCCGTGCTGAGACCATGTCGAGGCTGGCACGTCGAGCCTCGCGCAGGAGTGCGGCGCCCTCCCCATGTTCCAGCCGGCCCCTAAGTCCCCCAGGAAGACGATGAGGAGGCCCTGACACAGACAGCCCGGAGATGCGAGGAACTGCTTCTCTTCTGGAGATGGCGAGAACAGCGCCACTCCTTCCCCTGGAGGAGGGCCGGCTGGAGAATCTTTGCTTTGTTCTGTTCCGCTGTTGGCCCAAGGGCCAGCGGTAACCACATTCTTAAAGAAAGAGCAGTTTCCTTTTCCTCCGGGCCATCAGACTCGTGGGTGGAAAGTGAGCGACGCACGGCGCCTTTCTGGCAGACATCTGTAGAGCTGCGGGCTGAGCGACACCGAACACCTTCGCGAGAGCTTACAGTCTCTGCATTGAGCTAGTTTCTTCCCGTGTGTTGGGTAACAGGTAAGATGTGGGAAGAGCTGGCCGGTGTTAGCTTGCTGCGCCATTCCCCCTCACCTGGGAATGCGAGCGCCTTTTTCCTCCTCCAGTACAGTTCCCCAGATGGCGAACCCTGGTGGAGTATCCTCCAGCACCCCCGGCAATCAGACTGGGCAGAGCAGTCTGACGCCAGGCCCAGTATTGGTGTTAGCTTACCTGGGTCTCCGGTCAGCCCCTGTACTGGGCTAGGTGTCCATATGGCTTGATTCCCTTCAGGCGATCCCATATGTGTATTTTCCAATGTAAGTTTTCCCTCTCGGTGAACCTGTGTCTTCCCTTTGACAGACCATTCTGTCAGTCTCTGCTGGCAGTCATTCTATCCCTACTCTTAGGTAGGACCTTCCTCAGAGACCCATTCCATATGTAGTACTGCCCCAGGCCTGGGTCAGTCCATATCAGTGTCTCCACATGTCACCTCCTAACCCTAACCCAAAACCTAACCCTAACATACTGCAATTTTCAAGGTCAAATCTAACACCCCAGTTGAAAATATGAATTATTCTCTTCTATCCTTCTGAAATAACCGGATTTGAAATCGGGAGAATCGTGACGTCATGATTTCTCCTCGACACTACCTTAACGTGTTATCATCACATAAAAATCAAGAAGGCGTGACCAACTCATGTCTGTCCATCAACCAAGGGTCTGCTGTAGGATCAAGTAAGACCGTCAAACTCGACGCATGTAAAGAAACTTTTCAGAACCTTCCTACAGATCTGATCACTGGAAATTTTTAATGACGTGCCTGAGCGAATGAAAGACAAAGTTTTTGTTTGTTCTTCACAACGGACTGTATTGTGAATTATTATAAACATGCTGCCGGTTTTTCATAATATCTTTTATTGAAAGATACAGCAGTGCCAAGCATTTTATCATCGGAGGCAATGCAGGCAAGTACATTTATTTTTATTCTTACAGTGTGTTTGTAATAAATGTCAAACCAAAACCTGCCCTAGAAAGTTAGCTGCAATGAGAATGTTGCTTATTCCATACAGCATCGGCTCATGAAACAGTGTGTGTTATGATTGCTGGGGAGGACACTGAGAGGCTTGATCTCTCAGAACCCTCGCTGAATAACAGTATGGATTAGGGTGTAACGTGCTTCCTACAGTCATGCAGTACAGCAGGGCTATGGCTGCCTGTCATCTCTGCCCTCTCATGTCTGACGTCATGATGATTCCCTTCTGTTCCAGCAGTTGTGGCTTTCAAACTCTGTCACCTTACATGAACATGAACGTGAATGCGGTCTGATCCTGGCGGCCCATCGCCGCATGATTTAATAAGCTGATGACACTTTCACTTTGCTGGTGTTCTTCCTAAAACAGATCTCCTCCTCCCAATGAATTCAGCATTTTTCCAGGCTGCACACACACACACACACACACACACACACACACACACACACACACACACACACACACACACACACACACACACACACACACACACACACACACACACACACACACACACACACACACACACACACACACACACACACACACACACACACACACACACACACACACACACACACACACACACACACACACACACACACACACTGCTTATGATAATACCACAACACACACCTGCTCATTAGACTGTCGTGTACTGTGTGTTTTATCAAGAAGAACATCTAAACAAGGTCATTCTGGTTTGTACTCTCAGTGTCATCAGCCATTTGCTTTCTTAAGGAGCCCAGCATGATGAAGATGTGTCAAATTGTCTTCCTTGTACTGTGATTGTACCATGGTACTCAGATAATGGCATGGTAATAGTAAAGATCATGGTTGTTGTGAGAGATTACATGTTTTCTTACAGTACTGAACATCATCTCTGGCCCAGTCATTCATTTTAGTCAATTATATTCACATTTACATTGCTTAATAAGAGTATAATCCAATAGAAAGATCATCTAAAATCTGCGGTTTGTACTCCTTAATGTAAAGTTATTGTCCTTTGCAATAAAGCACTGTAATGGTACCATAGTTTATTGATAGAAACACATAATAATAATCTGGAACAATATAATTTTATAAAATAAGTATAAATATGTAATAATAATAGTAATATGTTAATATGTAAATTAAACCCTTGAG